GAAAAGGGAGAATCATTTGATTTTCTACGGATTCGACGAGACCGAAAAATATAAAAGTGGTGTAATTGAAATGATAATAAAAACCGTTAATGATTTGGGCATTGAAATAAACAAGCGAGATATTAACAAAGTGTTTAGAATTGGAAAAGCAAATGACAAAGGGAAAGCACGGCCGATTTTAGTTAACTTTTTGAACGTATGGAAGAGAAACGAAATTTTTAAAAACAAAAGTAGACTACCCAAAAATATATTTGTCAATGAAGATTTTAGTAAAGAAGTTTTGGATAAGCGAAGAGAACTTATACCACAGCTAAAAGAAGAAAGAAAAAAGGGACTTATAGCATATATAAAATACGATAAGCTTGTTGTAAAAGGTAAAAATGGTGATGTTCGGGATAAACGGAAGAGAGAACAATCAAACTCTCCAAACAAAGGTCACGAAAATGGTCGACCAAAAATTAATAAAATAAATGCCTTCGAAAAAATGTACAGGAACAGATCCCATTCAACATCAGAAATAAATAAAGAATAGCCATTAACTGACATCGGTTGCCGGAAGACCAAAGCAAATAAAGAAAAACAACTTAAAGAAAAAACAAAAACTATTAAACCTCCCCCAAGCCGACTGGTCCTCGTGGGGGAAAACGACCACAACCCTCCAAGACTGGAAAATAGTAACCACCAAAAATCAGTAATATATATCGCATCCCTCAATGTACTTACCCTGAGAAACGAAGAAAACCTAACGGAACTAACGTACGCATTAGAACAAATCAAATGGGACATCCTAGGCATGAGCGAAGTTAGAAGAATGGGTGAAAGTATCACTTCTCATCCTGACTATCTACTATACCAAATAGGGGAGACACCGGGCCAATATGGAGTAGGATTTATTATCAAGGAACACATTACGAAATATGTAGAAGAGTTCATTGGAATCTCCGAGCGCATAGCTATCATGAACGTGAAACTACCAGGATACAAGAACTCATGGTCTATTGTACAAATTTATTCACCTACAGAGCAATCAAATTTAGAAACCATTAATACCTTCTACCATAATCTAAATGAAGCGATTCAAAAACACACTCATAAAAATTTGATAGTAATGGGAGACTTCAATGGGCAAATTGGAGCCAGACGCTCAGGAGAAAATGCAATACTAGGACCATTCACGTACAGTAACAAGACCAGAAGTAGGAATGGTGAAAAAATCATAAACTTTGCGTTACAAAACAATTTAACAGTCCTAAGTACAAAATACAAGAAAAAACGGAAAAATAGGTGGACCTGGATCTCGCCTGATAACCGAACAAAAAATGAAATTGACTTCATTATGACTAACAGAACTAATTACTTTACCAACTTCAGCGTCATTAAAAGATTCAATTTTAACACCAATCATAGGCTAATAAGAGCGGAACTAAAAACAAAGCAACCAAAGAAGCCAAGACCAAGAAAATATTTAGGCGATACAAAACTCAGCAAACAGCAGACAGAACAATTAACAACAACCCTGAAAGACAAATTAGTAGACTTTAAAGATAATACAAAGGAACTGGGTATCCAGGAAAAATACAACTACTTAGAGCAAACAATCAAAACCCAGACAAAACTAATTGCCAACAACAAAACCGATACAAAAAAAGAACTATCAATAACTACTATAAAACTCCTAGAAGAACGGAAGAACCTTCTCAGTGCAAGAATCACGCAAGATAGAAGAAAGAAACTAGCCAACATAAGCAAAGAAATTAAAGAAAGCATGAGAAAAGATAGAAAAACCAGGAGAATGGAAATCCTAGAAAAATACATAGTACGAACAGGCGGAACCAAAAAAGCGTTTAAGGAACTAACACACACGAAGGACTGGATAGTAAAAATGAAGGATGACCGAGGAAAGTGGAAACACCATAGAACTGACATACTAGAAACAGCTACATCGTACTACAGGAAACTCTACAGAAGCAGTACTACGCAAGGTGGAGTCGAATTAGCAGAAACCACGATCATTCCTCCCATTCTCGAAGTTGAAGTCAAAAAAGCTATTGATACCCAAAAGAATGACAAGGCACCCGGACCTGATGGCATAAGTAATGAAATTCTAAGACACAGCCAGGAGATTCTGACACCTATCCTCACAGTTATGTTCAATGATATTATAGACACCGAAATTATTCCTCAGCAATGGACTGAGTCTAACATCATTCTACTGTACAAGAAAGGGGACAAATATAACATCGGCAACTACCGCCCCATTAGTCTCATGTCTAACATATATAAGATTTTTGCTAAGATCATCTTAAAAAGAATTGAGAAATCTCTAGACGAACAACAACCGATCGAGCAAGCAGGATTCCGTAAAAACTATTCAGTTATCGACCACATACACGTAGTACGTCAAGTTATAGAGAAATATAATGAATACCAGCTAACATACTACATCGCATTTATTGACTACAGTAAAGCATTCGATTCTCTAACACACGAAAAAAAATATGGGAGGCACTACTAGAACAAGGAATTGAACACAAATATATTCGACTTATAAAAAATATATACAGTCGCAGTACAGCAAGAATCCAGTTGGAAAAGAAAAGCAATTCTTTCAAAGTAGAAAAAGGCGTAAGACAAGGAGATCCACTGTCTCCGAAGCTATTCTCCGCAGTGCTTGAGTCCATCTTCAGAAGACTAAATTGGGAACATTTCGGGTTAAATATAGATGGTGAATTGATGTCACATTTGAGATTCGCTGATGACGTAGTGCTACTGGCAAAAACATCAGAAGACTTGAGTAAAATGATAAAAGAACTTGCATCAGAAAGCGAAAAAGTAGGATTGACACTGAATCCAGAAAAAACCAGAGTGATGACAAATGGAACAAGACATATCATAGAATTAGGAAACACCGAAATTGACTATGCTGATGAATACATTTATCTGGGACAGCTAATATCTCAAAAAGACCCCATGCAAAAAGAAGTGGAGAGAAGAATCACAAACGGCTGGAAGAGATACTGGAGCTTGAGAGAGGCTATGAAAGATAAAACACTTCATATAAACATTAAAAGTAAATTGTTTAACACCTGCGTGCTACCCGTTCTTACGTACGGCTGCCAAACATGGACTCTAAACCAGGAAATATTGCACAAACTGGCAACGTGCCAGTATGCAATGGAAAGGAGTATGCTAAACGTTAAAAAGTCTGACAGATTGAAGAACTGCGTTATTCGAAGCAAAACAAAAGCTTCAGACGTAACTGTCAAAGTCAAAAGACTCAAGTGGAGATGGGCTGGACACGTGATGCGAGGACACGACAAGTGGAGCAAAAAAGTGACACGGTGGTACCCTAGAGAAGGCAAAAGGAAGAGAGGCAGACCACAGAAAAGGTGGGATGACGATATCAGACAAGTGGCAGGAGTAATGTGGAACAGAGTGGCTCAAGAGAGAACAGAATGGAAAAGGTTGGAGGAGGCCTTTGCCGACTGGCAAACTGATCTAGCGATGATAACCAAGGAACAGATATTAGTTTAAGTAGCTTAAGTTTAAGATATTATGTTTATTTTTTAAGATAGTTTATTGTTAACACTTATTTGTTAGATCTGAATAAAGGCTATAATAATAAATATTAATACAATCATTCTATATAACATACTAAGGATACTATAATAGTCAAGTTTCGTAAAACACCTCCATTAAAATAGTTAATTTTTGTTATTAAATATTATATTTTAACTAAATACTCACCTGCGTGTCTCTATTCGTAAACCTGCAGACAGAAACAATGATTTAAGAAATAGTTTATATAAAAAGAGTTTAATAATTATCAAAGAAATATTAAATTAATACGAACTTTATAATTAATGAAAATATCTGAAATGATGAAAAGAAAGAACAGGAAAAAGTAGTGAAATGATTATTAAAAAGATGTTAAAGTTTTGGAGAATATATCTGTGTAGAACAAACTATATATATATACTTGTGTACTTTGCCTAATAAGATGACGTCGTATATTATGGTTGATTTTGATAACTACTCTATGGTATTAAAAAGGGCGATAAAATCAAAGCCTATTGGCGAAGTTAAAGTTATAAAATAATGTCTAATTGTAAAATCATTCACAAACTGATTGTGTACTGTGTAATTAAAGTAGTATTTGTCAAATATCTTCTTCAATAATATCCTGGCCATTTCCCGGCTATAGCCAGGGTCTGCCTTACATGTTTGTGAATAGTTTTTGCTATTTGTTTTTACGACCGGCCGCCTGCCTGACATCAACCCTCTTTTGGGAATCAGCATTAATCAGTGATGTCTAAATATTCTTAGAAAGTACATATGACTCGGAAAAATCACATTGGTACTTGCCCGGGCCAGGATCGAACCCGCGCTCTCGGCAACGAGAGGCGGGCCCTCTAACCATTAGGCCACCACTGACTAGTATTTGTCAAATATATGTAAGAAAAATTGTTATGACTGTCAACCAAAGATAATAAAATGAATAATGAGATCTAATACTTTCGCGAGTATTCATTTAAATGAAACTAATAGTATTCGGATTGTTTCGTGTATTTTAAAGTGAATGCCGTTACATCTCGTCTTAATGATCACGGTTGTAAAGTAACTGAAACGTCGGGAGTATGTAGTTTAAAATAATAAAATACTCGTAGTAATATGAATAATATTAGTTTCAATTAAATGATAATTATAATATAATATTATTTTCAGATATATTTTTTATCGCTCGTGAGAACGTTTTAAGTTTGAAGACAGGTGCAGTTTGTTCAAATTATGATTTGGTAAGTGATATAAAGCTTAAAAACTAATAATAACATTATATTGTACATTTAAATATATTTTTTAGCTTTCATTTATATTTAAAACGATTAATATATAATGCTTTGTAGTAATATTTTTCTGAAAATAGTCAAAATCATCTAGCACTTAAAGTTGCCAAAAAAATTAAGACTATTATAATATGTTTGCAGTTACAAAATAAACCGATGACAAGTGATATTGTTAATAAAAACGAAATAAAATTTTACGATCCTTTAAACGATGGTAAAGATTGTACTAAAAATACAGATATTAATACAAATTCAATTGATTTTATAAGAGACGATTTGACAAACTATGACACTGATGAGAGAACTAAAATTATTAGCAGTACTGAAGATGGGAATGTTTGTTTGTGTGGAAAAACAGAAAATTTGATCGAAAATAATAAAAATGATAACCTGACTCTTGTATACATAGCAGGAATGGATGATAGTCTGATGGAACTGAAACGGAACATACAGAAATATGGAGAGGGACACGAATTGAAAGTTAATTTTTATTTATATAAAAACCAAAAATGTTACGACCTGGGCTACTTGTATACGGACGCGTATGTTTTACGTTATTTTATACCGAATTGCGAAAATTATTTTTGTCTTGATAATATAAAAAATAACTGGTGTTTAGACAATTTATCAAGAAAACATTATAATAAAGACTTCAACAGACAGATGGGAAGCTTAAAATTTGATGAAAAGGTTGAAAATTACAATAATCAACCAATTGTTACTGAATCAAAGAATCTATGCAATCTAATAGAATATGTGCCGAAGGAAGTAGCTGGACATTATGAAATAAATATTCCTAAAGAACAACAATATATAGAAAAAAATGTATTAGATGATCTCAATTCAAATAATTTAGGAAAACAAAATACAAATATAAATAATAATATGAGTCCTCAAATTTCGTTATTAGAACCTGAAGGCACAAGACCTTTTAAAACAGTCAAAAACGATAACATTGACTATGCAGACGAAGAAAATGATGTTAATAGTTTGAATTTTGTAACAGGTAACAAAGTATACAAGCAAGATGTTAACAAGTTAGAAGAAGCAATAAATAACAATGATTACATGACTTCTAACGATATTACTTACAATGACAACAAAAAAGAATACATAATAGATATATATGATTCAATGTATACCACAAACGATAATGGATTGTATAAAATTAATGAAAACTCTTTAAACTATGTACCGACCAATTCTATATCAGGTAAAGAATCTGATTACAATTATGTAATTAGTCCTTGTTCCTCTGAATATATGAAGGAAGGTGACAATGATATCGTGACATCAGAAAAAAATTATGAATTATTGAAAATTGTACATTCATATGATGAAAACAATCAAGAACAGAAAGAATTTGGACATAACTTACAATATGATGATGGTACAGGCACAAAACCATATAATAAGTGTTTTAAAACCAATGATGTCTTTAATTATGAACCAGAAATACCAAATACGTTATTTACTCCGCGTTACATAGGTGGCATTAAAACAATTGGAAATCCATTGAACATGAAACCCTTGAAATTAACATTTTACCCTTACCAAGCATATGTGATACCAAATCTACAAGCCAAAAATATGGTGTGCATGAATAAAAATGATCCTGAAATTGAAATTGTAGACAGGACCTTCTATAACAATGAACCAATATTATCAAGATCTCAAGCTTCAGAGGAACAAAGAAATGGAAAGGAATTTCAGGGATATATCCCAACTTATGATTTAGAAAACCAAATTCAATCACCTCAAACACCTTATGAGGAAGCTACTTTGAATGATAATAATATAATTAATGACATCCAATCGCCGATTAATCAAGAAACATACCTAAAGATGCCTGAAATAGATAATGGTGATAAAAGAAATTATGTAACTTCACCGAAATTTAACGAAAACCAAAATAAAATTCCATGGCATATTGAATATATACCAAATGTAGCCAACATGTGGAAAAATCTTCCGAATATACAAAAACAACTTGTATCTGACAGTCTAAACACTCCAAGAGAAGTGAATAAAAATGAATTATTAACTAATTTACAATCAGAGTCGCTATTTGCTAAAAGTTTGACGCCTTGTATAAATACAAACAACTATGATATGTCTGCTAATTCCAAGATTAATTTCTTAGAGCCACAATACGAGAAAGAAAGATTATATGATACCAAAAATATGTTTCCAAATACATACGATACTGACGCATCGGAAAAAGAAATATTATCTTTAAAAGACAACATAAATAATGTCTCACCCAGGACAGAATATTTCATGCAAGATCCATGCATATATAAGAATTTAAAGTCGTTAGTCGGTAGTGGAGGCAGTTATTATAGACCTATTACAAATTATGAAAATACTAATACGCAGATAATAGATAAAACTCCTTATAATTCTGATTTAACAAAGAAAACATTTAAACTTAAGTATTATCCACACTCTGTTGCATTGTTAGATACATCAATCCAAAACATTGGTAGAGGTATTACGTCTTCAATAAGTCCTACCACCATAAATTTTAAGCCAATCGTTGAAAATACTTCTGATAATATTTTAATACCCGAAACAAATCCAGTGACAACACAAGATATTAAAAATCCATTCAATACTTTTGATCAATATACACAAAATTATAAAATACCCTCAAGAATTATATTCACGCCACTATCATACAAAATATATCCATTAAAAATAGTCAGCCCAAAACCTCTTACATCTAATATATGTCATAGTAATCCATATTTAGGTTTAAATAAGCCTGTACTATATAAAAATTTTGCCCATGAAAACCTACAGCATAACACTCCTTTGATTCCAACGATAGTTGAAAATATACAATCTATTAATAAAATGAATGATATATCTCAAAAGAGTCCCATACAATTCAGTGACAATGTAGTTTCAAACAATTTCAATATCAATCCTTTTGTTTCACAGAATCAGAATCTTCAAGATTCTATGTATTCTTTAGACCCAACCACTCGAAACACAGTATGCTTTACAAAGTTATTTGAGAATGAAAAACCAATAGTTGATGAATACCAACCAACTAAATCTGTTACTTCAGACACTTCCTATGAACCTTTTTCTAATGTAGCCAATGTTCCAAATGCAGAGAAATCTCTGAAATTTTATCCTAAAATCTCAATTTCAAGAGATTCTTTAGATCCAAATATTATTGGAAAGCCAATTAAAAACTCGTATGCGTTCGCAACGGCTGAAAGTAAATATCCAGAAATATTTGAGAAAACGCCATTCGATGTGAACCTAGAAGAAAGTACAGGTGCATCTAGCCTCCGATACAAACTTTTAAATCCCAGACCCAACACTGAGATTTTAAACTCGTACATAAATCAAACACCTCAAGATGAGATTAATATTTATAATACAAATATCCAAAATCCAAAAACGCCTGCTGTCACACACTATACGGTTTACCCAACACCCTCTCTACAAAATATATTAATTTCAAAACCACATAACGTTATGCCAACACCTTATTTACAACCAACTGTGACACATTCAGGTATCCCTGTACAAAATGGATATACTTCAAATTTGTATCGTAATAAATTAGAAGATAATTTGTTACCAAATAGTATATCTCAAGTATTCCCAATAGGTCTCAATACGAATACCTTATCATGGGGAAGAAGATTGAAATTATTAAAAGGTCAAAATATAAATGATGTCTACAACAAAAAAATTCAAAGTAGGTTTCAAGAAACACCAATATATCAACAACCTCTACAGAATAATTTAAATTACGAAACGGTATCGACAATGCCTGTGAAGTTTTCACCTTATGTGGCTATACCAGGCTCATCAGGTTTTGTTGAAGAAACTAATAAACTACGAAATAACAAAGCAAATCAACATATGATTAATTTTAAAGAGATTCCTGTAGGAACTATAGCTAAAGATAAGGGAAATTATATTATCTATAATCCTAAAATCAAAATAGATAACTTAGCAAACACGAGTCCAAAATATTCTATGACAAGTATTAGTGAAAATGAGATATTAACTCCAGATTATTCTAACTCCAGACAAGATCCTTTGTCTAAACTTTACGATGTTTGTGAACGAAAACAAAATTATTTTGATATACCTATCCAATCGGGAAATGTACCTGAATCATCACCGCGTGAGTACATACAGTACTCAAGAAAACCACAAGAATTGTTAGACACAGAGCCTGCTTCTAGTTTGACCTATTATCTACCAACAGCAAAGTTACTGCCAGTTAAGACTTCTAATATAAATAAAGGTTTTGTTCCTGTACCAACAAAAGTATTATTAAATACATATACAGATATTGTTCAGTCACCATCTACTTCAAACAGAGAATATTCATTAATACCAAATAACAAGAACTTTATACCACAATTGATTCTACCAAGTGACAGATCTTATACAGGAGCGACAGGCTACCAATCAAAAATAACTCCTGTAGGAAACACATATTTCAATATTCCTTATACTTACGATAACTTGAAGGATACATACAAAAATAATTTACAGACACTTAAAGAAAATATGCTAGATGGATTTTACTCTACTTCACCACCGAAAATAAGACAAGAAGAAATACAATCTTCAAGAAATGAAGATTTTATTGATTATAATAAAATTGGAAATGAGGGAAGAGTACAAATGTACTTGTACCCTTATATGAGAGTTTTAAATTACAAGAAGGGGCCATTACAAACCACTATAAAGCCAAAAATTTGGTCTACAAATACAATTCTACCGAAGAATTTAGTCGTAGAAAGTAATGAGCCTAATAGAGATAAACTAACTGTACCAAGTACATACAATTCAGATATAACTGGAATAACACCTAACACAAGAAAATACAATTATATTTTAAATAAAATATTTAATATTCCTACATTCACAACTACAGAACCATCTTTAGATGCGAAGTTAGCTTCACAAGTGATTACTAGCAAAACAAAAGAAAATGGCGAAATAATACAGACAGAAATCCCAGAAGGAAATCAAGAGCCAATTACTTTTGGTAATATTAGGTACTGTAAACCCGAATATCAGATAAAAATTACAAATAATATCCACCAAGGACAGGATAATATGAATATTTTCAATGCTGTTCCTGAATTTAAACAAAATTATTTAGAAAATCCATCAAACTTGGATAATTTAAATTTGTTCGGAACAATTAACCCGCGAACCACAGAGAGGGAGAAATTTAACAATTTTTTTACAGCTAATATTGAACCATCAAGATACTTACAAGATAATGGAAATCCAATATATTTGACACCTTACTTTTCAAGATATCAAAAACCTTCTAGTATTAATAACGTTGCTTATCCATTTACAGTCAAGCCTTCGCTAGCCCAAAAACAATCAGTTCAGGATGCATTTAACCAAATAGTCAGTTCCGATGATCCAAATACACCTTCAATGCCAAATGTTTATGAAAATTTAAACTATGGTATAGATCAAAGTGGAACTCAAAGAATTACAAGTTTAAAACAATTATCTAATTTATATTACAATCCAGTTGATTTAAGAAAATCTGTCAACTCCGTATATGATATCGGAACTCAACAAAACAATGGTTACATATCATATTCAAGTTTAAATTTTAATCCAATCAGCAGTTCTTATATAGCTGAAAAGGATTCTTATAATACTGCGACCACAAAGAACATATACCAATATTTCAATCCTACTGTTATGAAAATAAATAGACAGTTTAATTGGCCTTCAAAATTAATAAATTATATGAGTCCTGTAGAATCATATAAAGAACAAAAAAACAATATTCACATGCCATCTGATTACATCAATATAAATTCTGATTCTTTAACTAAAACTGCACAAACTTCAGCATTACCTAATACTCAAAATAACGCGTTCTTTGGACATGGTAATACTCCCTTAATAAATACATTTGATTGGAAATTTAATCTCCAAAGAAAAGAACCGCCTGCTACTTCTCAATACTCTTCCTACACACAATATCCTAATACATTTACATCTCCGTTCAGTTATAAAAGTCCCGAAGCTTATCATCCACCAATTCCATTAAATGCAGATCTTAATTCATATATATATAATGATATTTCTTATTCAAATATTCCACGAGGAAGTTTCTACATATCTCCAAATGCAGCAGAAATAATATCCCCTAAAAATAATATATTTTTCAATCTTCATAATGACTTAAAACAACCAATAAATCAGTATAACAGATATATCAGTGACGAAGCAGGCCAAAATTATTACGTAAATGATAATAATGAAATTGCTACGCCTAATATGAAACAGTTCCCAATTACATCAATCATGCAACACGAAAAATATAATAAACAAAATTATTTATTTTCTAAATTACATGATTCTCCTCAAACTGTTAACATACCAAGCCATGTAACTTATAATTCAAAATCAATCCCTATGCAAACGTCCCAAGGTTTATTTTCAAATATTGATAATAATCCAAAATACGCGTCATTAAATCTTTTATATCCTAAAAATATTTATTCATATTCATCATCTATCCCAAAGGAGTCCAAACAAAATTTTGTCAAACCATTATTGAGCTATACATACTTAAATAAAGACTTCGACTATAGCTCACCCACACAAATAGTTCATGAAACTACCAAACCATTTTCGACTGTAAACTATAGCTCACCCACACAAATACTTCATGTAACCAAACCATTTTCAACTGTAAAAACAGTTGAAGCAACTCCAGTATGGAATAATTTAGGCACAAAAAATTCTCTATTCACTGAATACAATCCTCTCCCACGATATGATTCATGGAAAAGGTTACCTTTATCTGAAGTGAACTTCAATTCAATACCAAGAATTAATTCTTTTATAACAGATAGTAATATATGTCCAATTACTTCCACCGCTCCAGGAGCGAGTTCAGATAGAATTTTCAATAATAACGATCATGTTGGTGGGGTCGTTGATTCCGATTATAACATGATTACACAAAATATAGGTGCGTTTCAATCTAATGCCGTACCAATGTTATTACCTTCGAGTGCCTTCCAAACTAAAATAGAATCTAATCCATTGGTAAAGAGTAGAATATCGTGTACCAATGTAATACCGACGAATCAGCCTCTTTCCGACTTCAGTTCAGGGCTCGAACCGCAGCGTTTAATTTCAAATAAAACGAGTTCAGAAATTTTGAAATCAAACAACGATCTCGTATACCCTGAACAGATATATTCTGAACAAGGGAAAATTACATTTTTACCTAAAATCAACTCTTATTGTTACGATGTCAAGGGAAATAATTTACCAATACATTCTAATGAATACCATCAAAAAGGCTTAAACGAAAAAGACGCTAATATGAATACTATCGAAGATAATAATTATTCCGATTTATATAAAATCGAGAATCAAAAATACGATATATTACCTTCAATTTCACAAATAGAAAAACAGATACCAAGTTATAATTATGACAAAATGAAGAATCCGTTTTTAAAATCACAATTCGCTGACTTAAATTATCCTTTTAACCTTTTAACAAAACCAGATGTATATAATAAGTTTGATAAAATATCGTCTAATATAAATCCATACTCAACTTTTAAACCACTAAGATTATATTCACCTACATATTATCAGAAACAAAACATTTATAATCCTAGTTTTTTCCCAACATATGAAAACTCATTAAGTATCCAGAATCATAATTTATTAAATTCTGTTAAAACTTCACCTTGTACACGGTCAGAACATATTCTGTTCACACCACACGTATGTAAAGTATTTAAACCTTCAACTTATCCGATTTCAACTAATGAGGATGCGGAGTTATACCGTTCAAATTTAAACAAAGTTTATGAGTCCCCATCTATGATTAGTTCACCCAAATATTTATCTCCTTCGTACATTGAACCGAACCGTCCAATTTATAAATCAATACAATATCAAAATCCTGCGATGTATCAATCTGGTAACGCCATATGGGGCTCTGATTCAGAAAAATATAGTAATTATAAACAAACTAACTCACTTCCCTACATAATAAACTATGATTTATCCCAACATAAACCATTTAATCCAGCGTCAACTTCAAACATCCCACTACAACAAGTATGGAAACATAATATTCAAGGTTTTATAAAATCACAAATAGAAAACGTCAACCAGGACAATCCATTGACAAAAACTTGTTACCAAGAAGATAATTATTCAAACAAACCACTCCTATCGCAAATATTTGGTTCAAATATTATGGACAATCAAAATAATATGAAATATTATCAAACATTACCTAAAATTGTGATCGCAAAATACGATCCGACGTGTCATAATACGTTTGTTATAAAAACAGGTGATTGTGACTTAAAATTGAAAACTTGGAGATCAAAACTGAAGGTCATCACACCCATACTAGTATATAAGGTAAAAGAAATACCTACAATAAACTTCATGCCTATCAGAAACACGAAATATACTACAGAAGAAGATATGGAGAAGGCAAAAAACTACGTCGCCCAGAAATATGGATGTCCAACGATTATTAAAGGAATTTTCAGTGCTTATAAGCCTTACGCGTACATTAATGATAGTTCCGCACTCAGAGACAATATGCCAGTGATATGGCCTACGTTATGTACATGCGGATGTGGACGAAGCGGATGTCGTTGTAGAAATAAATAATATAAATCTAATATTAATTTTAATTACAATAAATAAAAATTACGTTAAAATTTGAATAAATCATGAGCTGTTTAATTTGTAATTGTTTTGATCTAAGGCTTAATGAATAACGAAAATAATTTTACAAACATTGTCATTATACAACACCAGACTTGCTTCATAAATACTTGTATGTGTTTGCAGTAATTTTTTTAAGTATTAAACGAATTCAAATAACAATATAAAATAATAAGAAAACAAAAACATATAAAACTTAGAACGTAGGATTTATATAAAAGATGTCTAGAAGACTTGCTAATATATATGTACCTATGTAGTTAGAAAGTAATAAAATGTATATAAATTGAATGTATGTCCATTATTTACATAATAGTTACAAAATTTTTCTTAAATATCCCTTATTAAAGCCATCTGAATTCAAATAAAAAGGATGCAATCTTCTGTTTTCTGTGTTTTGTTATATATTCTGAACAAATAGTGATTGCTCCAACGGAACTCATGAAGGTAAGTGTCTGGTTAGACATTTTAATATGTTAAAATTTTCCTTTTATGTATCATCATCATCCTATCAGAAGCCCACTGCTGAGCCTCTTCTCACACGGAGAAGATTTGAGCATTAATCACCACGCTCGCTCAAGACGGATTGGTGATTTCAAACTTATATGATTATAAGTCCATGTTTCCTCATATTTTCCTTCATCTGTCAGTGGTGTCTAAATACTCTTAAGTACATAAGACTCGGAACATCACATTGGTACTTGCCAGGATCGAACCCGCGCTCTCATTTACAAGAGGCCTTAACCTCTAGGTCACTACGACTCTTTCACACACCCCAATAAACTTCAATGAATTTTAACTACAAAGTTCTATTGAAATTAGTATATTTTTAATTTTAAATAAGTTTTACATAAATTCTATTCATATAAAAACACAACATTCTTGAGCATAACATTTTTCATAAAACGCTTTACACTTGCTTTAAACGGTATTCATTAAAATATGTAAATTAAAATATAGAAAAGGGTAAATGAAAAGTTACATATAAAAAATATTTAACGATTCCACCAAATCTCAATTTATTAATACAATAATTATTTGTATAGCTTTCTATATTTATAAATAACGTTTATGTAACGAGGTTGCGTCCAAATGGTACAGGTAGGAACAATTACTTTGACTGTCTGAACCGTAATAGAATAAAAATATATATAGTGTTATTGGTATAGTAAAAAATATTCCTAATTCTCCTTACATAAATCAATTTGTACGCGGTAGAAGTAGGAGCGAAACGTGTAATGGCTAAATCTCTCTACAACCTACTATAAGACTTAGGCCTGTCCAGAACTAACATTAATACATTCTTTGAACATACATCGAAGCCAGCCCTAGTAGGTTCTTGTCAAATTTTGTAGGGAGAGGAGCTTGTACGGTGGAGGTGATCGTTTAACGTTAGATAGGGGTCCCTTAAACCTACACCTGGGTCACAAGTACCAGTCACTGTTGAAGCTCCTCTCACTACAACGATGGACCCGACACACGCACCGTGAATACATTGAATGATGAGAGGTTTCATCTTTTACTCATCTTATCTGACTTATCTGTTTGATAATCTACTGGCTTTTGACATATTTGAGTTACTTTTTGTCTAAACTGTCTTGTATACGAGCCTTCGTTTGATTTTGTTTGGAAATATCAGATACATACTGATGCGTTGTTACAGATATATCAAATACTTTAAGCAATACTATAACTTTATTTGAAGTGTAAGTAACGCAAGTGTTAAAAAGAAAAGGATTTTGAAACAACAAAATTATACTTTGATTGATTGTTTAAAGATGAAAGAGTTCAAATTTCAAAGTTCAAATCATTAATTAATTTCTTAAAGATCATGTTCAGGATCAAAAATATAATTTATATCAAATTTTATAATAAAACGTTAATTTATCTTGAAACTATGAACACGCTGAAGAAATATTTAAAACTTTTCCGACTCTCTCCTTGAAAACGGAATGACATACCACACATTCAATGTCAATATGTTATCAACTTTCTCTGTAACATTGAGAACAAACAAACATACATACAAGTAAAATGAAACTAATATTGTTCGCGACTACTTTATTTTTGTAAAAATTACATTCACATCTCGTGTTAATGATCACGGTTGTAAAGTTACCGAAACGTCGGGAGTATGTAGTTAAAATAATAAAATAATACGCGTAGTAATCAAAATAATATTAGTTTCATTTAAATGAATACTCGCAAAAATATGTCTCAAACATACAAGTAGATGTTACTAAATAATTTTATTTACTAAAATTCATTATGAACGAACCTTTATCGTTACAAACTCAGACAACAGATCGGTCTAACGTTATTAGAGAACTTTCAAATGAAATATTCTGATTGGAAATTTCAGCCGCATATTGGCTGTAAATCTGACGAATGATGAAAAATTTTCCACATAAACATTTTTTTTCATCCATTTTTTAAACTCTAAATACGATCGGGATTTTGGTTAAAACATATAATATATTAAGAAATATTGTATATGTTGTTTTTATATCAGTTCAAACAGTTTGATGGTTTTATTTTAAGTATAAACAACATATTTTTGACTTCTAAGTATTCTTAGTCGTGGTATCCTAGTGGTTAAAGTCCGCCTCTCGTGCATGAGGGCGCGGGTTCGATCCTGGCAAGTGCAATATGATTGTTCCGAGTCATATGTACTTATAAGAGTATTTAGATATCACTGACAGATGAAGGAAAACATCGTGAGGAAACATGGACCTGTAATCCAATTATAAGTTTGAAATCACCAACTCGTCTTGAGCAAGCGTGGTGATTAATGCTCAAACCTTCTCCATGTGAGAAGAAGCTCAGCAGTGGGCTCTGATAGGATGATGATGATGAAGTATTCTTAAGCACTTAATCTATAGCGTCTCATTATATAATCACCGAACGGGAGTCATGTTTATTCATTCACTCAATCCGATTCATTCATTCCTTAATCACTCATTCATTCACTCATTCACCATAATTTAATATCAAGACTTAACATAAATGAGAAGATCACAATCTGTATCCTGACATTCATTTAACGATAAGATTAACAAAATCTGAAGACTTTACTCGTGCCTAGCAAATTTTTAAATCGGAATAACCAAACAAATAAAATATGTAAGGATGTCTCAATGTATACAGTATTTAATTTTAGAATAAATGTTTTATCTATATAAAGTTTATAAATAAATATTTTTCAAATGATATCGCCTTAATAAATTTCAATTCGTTGATACAAAGATTGAAAGAGTTTGACACAACTACAATAGCTTACATATAATTTAGTTTTATTTCATTTACTTTAACAAAATCAATAATAAATGGTATAGTAAAAGTATGCTTATCTGAAACTGAAACTAGAATTCAAGTAGACAACACTAAGGAACAGTGGAGTGTTAAAAATTGACGACAAATGAACCGAATGAATGGATAATAAAATATGTGTAGGTCCCTTGTTAAGTATTCGCTACATATTAAAATAAATGAACATCGCCGGGGCGACATCGTTGTATGTATAATATATAACTCTTGAGGCCGCTGACTCCGCGGAACGAACACCAAGCGTGTGAACCAGAAGATTCCTGATACACACAAGCTATGGAATGGTATTGATATACTAACATCGGGTCAATCATGTAGTCTTAGGTGTAGGTTATAAGTTTTAATATGTAGTACTTATTATAATATACATATAAGTAAGTGCCGTAGTTTTCCTTCAACCTCTGGTTACCATCCTATATAATTCCCTTACCAAAAAAAAAACATTTTATAAACTTTAAAATCAACTCATAAAATATATTGATTATAACCACTCAGTGAAAAATATATTTGAATACATAGAACTGGCAAGAAGACTCAAATATAACATCTATTGTTACACATACAGTGACTAAAGCTTAAAAATATAGCTTGATTTTACGGAATATTAACAAAATGTTTAAAATTTTCGTGTGACTCAATAAAAAGATATACTTTTAAGTTTTTTATAAGAACGACGGCTTACTTGATGAGGTGTAGTCACAGTCGCCCATCAACGACAAAAAAGATGTTGCAAATGTTTTGCGAACCTTAATTGTTGAGGAAAAGGGAGAGATGGGAATAAGGAAATGGCAGGAAAGGGAGGGAAAGGTCAACCGTCTCTCTCACTCATCAGACCAAACGCATCCATTAAAGACTACTTGACGCTGATCTTCAGTGAGAGGGTGGTACTTCCCTGGTCGAGCCAGCACATGTTCGAGCTGTAGTAACTTGACAACTAAGATCTACCATCTTAAAATTTAAAATGTCAATCTATTGTAATTATAATTTAGCTTAATGTCAAATTATTTTCACTATTATATACTTATTTTTTATATGTTATTGGTCTTTTATGTTTTTACGTTGATCAAAATTCCCGGTTCAAGAGATATATCAACATTTGAATGCGGTTATTCATTTAAATAAACATATGTATTTTACATATTACACTACCTACTATTTATTAAGCACAAAGTAATTTCAGCATATAAAAAATATATATTAATTACTACGATTATGTTTTACAACATTTAATAAATGACTTTTTAAATAAATTTTATACTAATAAATCTTTTAAAAAGACTTTTCATTTGAAAGTGAATATGTGGGATATAGAATTATGAATGTAAGTTTATAACTCAATCAATTCATTAATAGAATGAATTAATGAATGAATTAATAAATGAATGCATGTAAATGAATGATTTCCTTTGTCGCACACTTAATAAAAGAAATTAGTATTTGATAAAATTTGTTTAAATTAATTTTTAATATACTCTTTTATGGTTTTAATAAGTATAACATGTGTCACGATCGAATATTATTCATACATATAATCAATATTATTAAATATTCTAAATATTATAGCTTAGTTTGTTTCATAAAATGATTTAAATATTCATGCGAGTTAGTACTTATAT